GAATTGAACAATCGATTGTTACGACCATCATCATCATCATCATCATCATCGAATACACCTTGTTTTGGGTATTTTGTTTGTTTGTTCGGATTTCGATTATACGACCGACGGTTAATGATGATGATGATAATAATAATTCGGGTAATACATCATCGTCGATTGAATGATATTTGGATTTTTTTTTTGTTATCCAGAAAAAAAAGTCATAAAATTATTCGTTGAAATCCATTGGGTAAATTCTATTGTGTGTGTGGAAAACAAAAACAAAAAATTACAGGAAAAAAAAGAAGAAATTTCGCCCATAAAATCGTTTGATATCGTCGTTGTTGTATGAAATGGGTGCGAAAAAAAACAGACTGGAGGCCATGATGAAACAAAACGAAAAAAGAAAGAAAAATTCAAAAGTCGAAAGGCTGATATTGTCAAAATTTGGGGTAAGCAACAAAATTCAATTGAACAAGATTTATTCATAAATTTTGTTTTTTCTAGGTTTAGATGACGGGAAACAAGAAAAAAATGGTGATGATGAAAATAAAATGACAAACAAACAAAAAAAAAGATCAAACAAAATCGACCGATCCAAATTGGTTTGTCAAGTACGAATTGTCGATTGTGATTAATGAAATATTTAATGATTTTTGATTGGAAAAAAAATCTATGCGATATTAGATATTAGGGGGAAAAAATAGCAAGATAATTATCTTGAATTAGCTTGAATTTATTAATTTTTTACGAGAGTTTTTTTTATTATGTCAAAAATCGATTGTTGAAAACAACAACAACAAATCGAAATAAAAGTTTCTTTCAAGTTTTTCAAGTATTTTTGCGTGTAAAATTTTTTGGAATATTCCATCGATTCCTTATGTGGGTATAGTGTGGGAAAAAAACGACACAAAAATATTTCCGAAAAAAAAGAATAAGAATAATCAAAGAATTAGGCATTTATAACATTGTATTCAAAAATTATAATCAGGTTATTGATTAATATGATTTAGATATGATTATTACGAAAAAATTTAAACGTTATCAACATTAAAGCAAAATATGACATTAAAAGCTAAATTTGGAAAGAAACAAAAAAAAGTGTTAGTTAAAATGATTTAAATTGATTGAACAAAAACATTACCTGAAAACAATTATGATAATTAATGATAGCAATACGACCACAATAAAAACCAAAACCATTACCGGTAGTTGATAAACGTTCATAAAATTCATGGACCTGCCATTTAATTGTTGGATTTTTCATACATGATTGTATGATTGGTAATTGTCGTTTAAATTGATGTGCAGAATANAAAAAAAAAAAAAAAAATTATTCAGATTTAAAGCCAGGTTTTATGAAAGTGTGAAGTATTATTATTATTATTATGGATCTCAATTTCTCATTGTCATTGTCATCATCATCATTTAACACAGGAAAAAAATTCATTCAAACCGAAAAAGAGAATTTAATTTTATTGTCTCCTATGATATTCACACAAAATGTATACCAGCGATTAATGAAAATCAAAAAAATCTTATCGATCAAGAATTGAATTGAACAATCGATTGTTACGACAATCATCCTCATCGAATACACCTTGTTTTATGTATTTTGTTTGTTCGAATTTAGATTATACGACCGACGGTTAGTGATGATGATAATTCGGGTGAATACATCATCATCGTCGATTGAATGATATTTGGATTTTTTTTTTAATTTTTTTGTTATCCAGAAAAAAAGTCATAAAATTATACGTTGAAATCCATTGGGTAAATTCTATTGTGTGTGTGTGGAAAACAAAAACAAAAAAATTACAGAAAAGAAGAAATTTTGCCCATAAAATCGTTTGATATCGTCGTTGTTGTATGAAATGGGTGCGAAAAAAAACCAGACTGGAGGCCATGATGAAACAAAACGAAAAAAAAAGAAAAATTCAAAAGTCGAAAGGCTGATATTGTTAAAATTTGGGGTAAGCAACAAAATTCAATTGAAAGTCGAATATTGAACAAGATTTATTCATAAATTTTGTTTTTTGTTTTTTTTCTTGGTTTAGATGACGGGAAACAAGAAAAAAAACAAGATCAAACAAAATCGACCGATCCAAATTGGTTTGTCAAGTACGAATTGTCGATTGTGTTTAATGAAATATTTAATGATTTTTGATTGGAAAAAAAAATCTATTAGATATTGGGGGGAAAAATAGCATCTTGAATTAGCTTGAATTTATTAATTTTTTACGAGAGTTTTTTTTAATAATGTTAAAAATCGATTGTTGAAAACAACAAAAACAACAAATCGAAATAAAAGTTCTTAGTGAGTGAGTTTCTTTTTTTTTCGTCAAACAAAACAAAAAAATTGATTTAACAACAAAAACCAAAGGAAATAAAAGTTTTGAAATTTTAAATGGTTAACAAAAAAAAAACTTTGAATGAATTTTCAATCGGGTTGCTATGACAAAATTCTGACTGAAATTATTTAGGTTTTTTTTGTGTGTGTGTTTGTGTGTCGGTGTTAATTCCATTTTGAAATTTTGAATGAACTAATTCTTGATTTTTTTAGACATTATTATTATGGAAAAATGTGAATGTTATCAACATTAAAGCGAAATAGGACATTAAAAGCTAAATATGGAATAGAAAAAATTGATTTAATTCATTGAAATGAATAATATCATCAAAAAAACATTACCTGAAAAGAATTATGATAATTAATGATAGCAATACGACCACAATAAAAACCAAAACCATTACCGGTAGTTGATAAACGTTCATAAAATTCATGAACCTGCCATTTAATTGCTGGTTCTTTCATATATGATTGAATCGTTGGTAATTGTCGTTTAAATTGATGTGCAGAATAATTCAATAATGATGCAACTAAAAATACATTGAATAAAACAAATGTTTGAAATATTAAAAATCCTAAATACATAAATCGATTATTTAATGAATTATAACGAAATACAAGATTATAGATACACATTATATTCAATGGAATATTAGCCATAATACCCATAAAATAAATAGAATTCCAAACATCATTACCGCTATACATTATACAATATGTCATATGTTGATGTTGTCGTTGAAATTGACGCCAAATTAATTGACGTAAATAATTTAATCGCAAATTTATCATATGTCTGCGATTGCCAAAAACCTGGATAAGCATTTTATTCAAATTATTCATCTGTGATGCATAGAAAACTATAGAAATGGTGGCAAAATTAAAACAAAATGTCAAATTTCTTATGAAAATATATCCACAATAAAGATGATTAATACAATCGAATAAAGCTAATGGCCATAAATTCCACATATGAATACGAATAAAATTAAAATATTTTACACAGGCAAGATTTAATGTAGTAGATATAACAAATGTCAACAAAAATACATCCAAACAATGTATTATGAACATTGCAATTGTCAATTCGATTCGTTGTTTAAGACCTGCATACCTGAATACTTTTAATCGTAATTTTGCAAAGTTATGAAGATCAATATTCAACATTAACCGTATGAACAATTTATCAATAAATGTTTTATGTTTTTTTCTTAACATTTTTGCCAAATAATTATGTATAATTCGTGGTGAAGAATCTGATATTAATTCATTAAAATCATTACTATTATTTAACGTTTTGATTATTGTTCGTAACATATTTTCACCTTGTAGATGAACAATTGAATTACGATAATGATCATAATTACGGATAGAAATATCATATAATAAATGCCATGTTAATGAATTACGATTAGTTAAAAATAACATATAATGACTATGTAAAACAAAACCAAAATAAATTGACCAAATGATCGATGTTAAACAACTATCGGTTATATTTAATGATGTTCCATCATTATCGTGATTATGATAATCAAATAATGGTGCAGCAGTTGTATCATATTGACAATATGACCTTATAACAGATTCGTCCATAAAACTGAGCCAAACATAGAATAGAAAACGTCCGGTTTGAATAGTGATCATTATTAATTCAAATAACCACCAATGACGATTATTTGGATTCAATAATTGTTCAAATTGATAATAAAATTTTAAACGATCAAATAATAACATTGCTGTTTAACGAATAATGTTTACAAATGTAAATAACCAAAATGAAAAATTACAATTTAACAATTTGAGGAAAAAATAAATCATTGGAAATTTAAAAAACTTGAAATTGTAAATTTCTTTTGGAACAACCAATAAGAAATATATCATCAATAATGTACAAACAAAGAAAAAATTTTTTAAAGTTTTTTATTTTCCACAACAAAAAAAAAATCCAATTGTGAAAAATGAATTTTCAAACCCATATCGACAAAAGGAAAAACAATAGCAAAAATTTACGGAATTTTTTTTACGTTCACTAACATATTCCGATAGATTGATTGGTTTTTTTAAAAAAAACTTTTAAAAATGTAAATATTATATTACTCTGTTTCTATGACAAAAGAAAAAAATTATTCACGAAAAAAAAATGAAAAATATAATATATTGATTATAATTTAATGAAACAAAAACAAAAATTTGAAATTCAAATGATTGAATCATTTTTAAGGGTTAAATAGTTTTATTTTGCGTGTGTAAAGTTAATAATATTAATAGATTAATAAATAATTATTAATAGATAAATTCAAAATATTTCAAACAAGCAAGTGTAAATGTAGTGGATATAACAAATGTTAACAAAAATACATCCATAAAATGTAATGTAAACATTGTCATTGCTAATGCAATTCGTTGATTTAAACCAGCATAGCTAAATATTTTCAAACGTAATTTTTCAAATTTATGAAGATTTGTT